CTGGGGGATCGAACTCAGGTCTTCACACTTGCAAAACAAGCTCTTTACCAACAGAGCTAACATGCGAAATAACTATCTAGGGTGGGACTGTGTCGGTTCACAGCAGACACTGGATGGTTTCTGCGCTCCTCCAAAAGCTGCAGTCTGTTGTGACCCAGCTGAAGGGTGAGTAGAAGCGTACCTGTCGAGGGCTATTTAGAGTGGGATGCCTGAGGACCAGCCTTCAGAAGAGGGGACCCCACAACTTAGGTATGCATATGTGGGGGGGTACCGGCAAGGGGGATAAGGACTCAACCAGATGGAAAGGGCTAGACGTCTAGGAAACCCATGTGGCAGAAGACTGAATGCCAGGAGGCACTGGAGAGGGAGGCAAGAGCCAGGGTTTCTTGGGCCTGGTGGACCAGGCCTTTGAGTCCAGACTTAACTCTGGAGGCCGTGGAAGGGTTTGAAGCAGGGAGTGATGGTATTCGATTTATGGCCTTGGTTTCCCCCATATTAGGCCAGCCTCTGCACCAGTTTATCCAAGTTAATGAACCAGAGCAGAAACGAGCCAGCCTGTGGATCACCATGGAGGATGTGGGCCAGGGCTGCCCACTGTAACGAATAGCATTGCAAATTCCCCTCAGCTCAGCCCCCACGGTCTCTTTCCGAAGAAGAGCTGCTGGGATGGCCAGAGACGGACACAGAGGCGGTCAGCTAGGATGGGGGAGAGCTGCAGAGCTGCTGCAAGGTGATGGATATGGTGGGGAGGCTGGGAAGATGGCTGTTCGCTGGTAGTAGCCTCTTGGGGTAGATATTTCCAGATTACCCACGCAGTGTCGTTAGAAAGCACAGCTATAAATTAGGCTGCTCAGAGGCATGGGGCGTGTAATAATTAAGTAATAAAAGTCACCACAGGGGTATGAGAGGCAGGGACAAAGAGCCACTGTTTGTGCGAGCAGACCTCAGCGAGTCAAGGCCTTGAACCTCTGGCTCACGTAGAATGCAGCTCAGCCCAGTCTCCACATCCTCTCATGCCCTCATGCCGAGGTGCAGTGGGCTGGGAGAGTGGACAGGTAGGGTCCAGACCAACTATCTGGACTGTCTCTAGGCCCACACAGTCTCATCCAATAAAGGGACACGCAGGGAGTGGAGCTCACATTACCAGGAAAGCAGGGAAGGCTGAGGACTAGGGCTAACGGGAAGCTGGGGCTCAGTGCCAGCCAATTACTGCTGACTGGGAATGCAGGCCCTCGTAGCCAGGATACACAGTTTCACAGTAATCTAGAAACTTGTTTTGAGATGTCAGATGTCCCTATATATGTGTTGGTGTGTGTGTATGCGTGTGTGTGTGGGGTGCATAGATATGTGCAGGTACATGTAGACACGTGTGGAAGTTAGAGGTCAACCTTGGGCATTGTTCCTCAGGTATTGCACACCCTTTTTTGAGACAGGAGCTCACTGGCCGGGAGCTCGCCAAGTAGGCTAGACTGGCCGGCCAGTGAACCCCAGGGATCCTCCATTCTCCACTTCCCAGGGCTGGGATTGCAACTACGGCACACCTTGCCGGATGTTTTGAGACAGGAGCTCACTGGCCGGGAGCTCGCCAAGTAGGCTAGACTGGCTGGCCATTGAACCCCAGGGATCCTCCATTCTCCACTTCCCAGGGCTGGGATTGCACACCTTGCCGGATGAGGTGGTGCACGCCTTTAATCCCAGCACTTGGAAGGCAGAGGCAGGCGGATCTCTGTGAGTTCGAGTCCAGCCTGTTCTACATAGTGAGTTCTGGGTCAGCTGGGGCTACAGGGAGACCCTGTCTAAAAAACACCAAAACAACAAAGAACAAACAAACAAACCTAAAAAACCAAATACACAGCACCTCACCTACCTTTGTTTGTTTTGTTTTGTTTGGGGGTTTGTCTGTTTCTTTTGAGACAGGATCTCACTATTTAATCCTGGCTGGCCTCAACACTTACAGAGATCTGCCTGTCTCTGCCTCCTGAGTGCTGAGATTAAAGGTGTGGTGGTTCTCCTGGCTTTTTTTTTTTTTTTTTTTTTTTTTTAAACATGGGTTCTGGGGATTAAACTCAGGTCCTCATGTTTGCACAGCAAGCTCTTTACTTACTGAACCACCTCCCCAGCCCCAAATATGCCTGTTTTAAATGTTGGTGATGATTTCAAATCTCTAAGGCTGCTGCACAGTCCAAATCAAACAAATCTAGGGGACGAGGTTTGCATCCTCTGGACCTTGCTGGTCAGACGCGGGGCCTGCTCCTCCACTCAACCTCCATCTCCTCAGCCCCTGGTCTGGGCAGGAAGGCTTGAGCCGCTCCCATCACCCTGTCTGCTTTGGAAAAACAAATCAAAGCTGAGACTCTCCAGACAGCATCTCTGTATGCAGCTCAGACGACGATCGTCTGCGGCTTCCAGGGCCCTCGGGGGTGTGAGCCCCGGGGGTGAGGGAACCCTAAGGTGCTGTGCTCAGTCTCTGACTTCCATCCAGGCCTGTGCTGTACCACAGTTCCTATGGGATTTCCCAGAGCCCGTGCTCTGTGACAAGTTGCCCGTAATGGGGATGCAGGGAGTGGAGGGGGTAAAACAGTTTTGACCCTCACAGCTCTGGAAGCCAGAAGTCTGATCTAAGGCATACCTCTCCCAGTTGTTTGGCGGACTCAGGAGACCCTGGCTTGTATTCTGGATGACTGTTGTATAGGATGATCCTCTGAGCCAAACAACTGCCATCTTCCTGAGCTCAGATGTGCCCACTTGCAAAAGATCATCACAGCTGGGTTTGTTAACATTCTTCAACCCAAGTGCCCAGCCACTTCTCCCAATCCACTGTTCTGCCCTAATTACAAGAGGTCTTGGGGAAAAGCTAAATTATTTAGGCTGGGGAAGACTAGGGGAGACATTTGGTTATGTGCCTGTGGGGAAGACATCGTCCGCACTGGTGAAGGGTTTCCAGTGCTGCCTTTTGTGGCAGAACAGCCACACTCCTGTGTAAGCGACCCCTCATCCAGGCTCTGTAAGGAAGCCCAATAGACTCATTGGTTCCCCAAGGTGAACTTTTGTGGAATCATACCTTGGTTTGTCCTTGGAACCTAGAGGGAGAAGGGGAGACATTGTTTACATTTTCTCCAGGGAAGGAATTTTAGCAACAGTGGCACATGGGTGATTCTACTGGATAGCGCTGGTCTAGAGGCCTGCCTGGTCACCTGTCCATTTGGGTCCTTCCCCAAACATATGTGGCAGGATTCTCTCCAGCCCAGTCTCTGCTTGCTGCTGTTGGCGAGGTTAAAATGATAGTTTACTTGTTTTGTGGTGCTAGGGCTCGAATCCAGGACCTCAGGCATGCCAGGTAAGCACTCTACCACTGAGACATTCCCAGCCCTAGACAAGCATTTAGATGCCTTTCATGCCATGTCTGTTTACCACAGCAGTAAAACAAAGGCTGGGCTTTCTCTCCTGTGGCTGCAGTGACCATCCACGGGAATTTCCCATCAGCCTCTAGTCATTTCACTCACCACTGATGGCTGTCACCTACACCTCGATTTCTTCTTCTAATTCATTATTATTATCATTATAGTTTTAGAGACAGGATCTCTGTGTAGCCCAGGCTGGCCTTGAGTATTGGGAGCATAGGTGGGTGCCACTATACCCTGCTTATGTGTATGAATGTATTGCCTGCATGTAGGTAAGTGTACCCGTGTCATGTAATGCCTGTGGAGGACAGAAGAGGCCATCAGATCCCCTGGAATTGGGGTTACAGACAGTTGTTAGCTGCCATATGGGTGCTGGGATTCGAACCCGGGTCTTCTGCAAGAACAACTAGTGTTCTTAACTGCTGAGCCATCTCTCCAGCCCCTAAAATATATTTTTAAAATTAAGTTTTGGGGATGTGAGACGGTGTCTTGTATATATTGACCTCAAACTCACTGTGTAGCCAAGGATGAGCCTGAACTTATGATTCTCGCGCATCTACCTCCTGAGTGAGTGCTGGAATTAAAGGGATGTACGGGCTTAACTTTCTGAGAGTTTGACACAGTGGCCCAGGTTCCTGGCTGGTCACTGTAGTTGGGTTGACTTCCTGGCTGGTCAGTGTAGGCAGCAGGCTGACCTCCTGGGCAGTTGCTGCACACTGAGCACCGGAAGTCTCATGTGTATGTGAGCTGGCCACTGTCCATTTGTGTGCTCAGTCTCCGGATGTTTAGAGCAGTTGTTTTCCCCCAAAAGGACTTAACTCGACTGATCTCACTGGGAGTGCTATCCTCACTGCAATAGGACCCTCCTTTCCCCCAATCTGTAAGGTGGAGATAAGGATGGTACCTGCCTTAGTGCTGGGAAGGAGGATCTGCAGAGGGCTCAGCACTGGCCAAGAGCGCCACGCTGGGAGAACAGAGCAGACATTTTTACCCAGTGCTATTACTGGAGAGAGGTTCCTGAGTAGAGTTAAGCCTAGTTCCAAAGACCAGGCCAGTGGGACTGACAGACACGAAGCCAAGTTCCAAGGGCACAGACAGAGTGAGTGAGAAGGGACCTCCCCTCAAGAGTGGGGTATCTCGCTCATCTGACTTGGCAGCTGAGGTAGGCCTGGGTGATCAGAAGAGGGAACCCTGAGCAGCTCCCTAGGGAAATCAGCTATTGAGGGTTGGAAGACCCTCTTAGCAGGAGTCTTTTCTAAGACTGTCCTCAGAAGGCAGAGGGCAGGGTCCAGGGTGAGCTGGGCCTAGCAGAAAGGGCTCAGAAGAGCCTGCCTAATGCTGGTTAGGGTTGAAATCTTTGTCCCATGCCAGGTTACACACCTGGAGGCTCCCCGAGTTTGCAGAGTAGTTTATGCACATGGTCTGCCTCTCTCAGGGCCTCTGGGTGTCTAAGGGAGCCCTTCCCAGCACTGGAGGGGGGGTGTCCTCTTCAACCCTAACATTGAGGCCTGTGTACTGAGGAGAGACTGTTGTCTGTTTTGTAAGTGGGTGCCCTGACCTTACCCAGGCCTCAAGCTCTGTCTGGCCTTCTCCCCACAGGCCATCCACACCCTTCTTTGATCTGCTGCAACACCGGTACCAGCAGCTGTGGGTGCAGGAACAGAAGGCCACCCAGCAGGCCACTAAACTGGAGAAGAAACAGAAGGTAATGTACCCCTTACTCCAAGAGACCAGCGGTCAGGGAGTCAGAGAAGGGCTGGCCAGCCGCACTGGGAGGCGGCAGCTCCTGCGGCTGGGGCAGAAGGCAGAGTCCATTTGCTTCTCACTGCAATGAAATTCAGATCTGGATGAGTCTTAGTGATGATCCTGTTTGGCCTGTACCTAATCCCCGCATAGCTTGTATCTCATCCTACAATGTGTACGAGATGACCAGACACAAGTCAGGCCTGTCACCTGTGATCTGGGATTAGTATCCCATCATCCTGACCGGTACACAGGAATTTTTCTCAAAACCTCCACCTGACTTCATACATAGGAATACCAGGCTTCAGTCCAAGCAGACTAGACATACATGTACCCTGCAGCAGCTGATATAGGACAAATTGGAAAAAGAGAAAACGCTTTCTAGAAGAGCGAGTTAAAGGACAAATTTTCTTAAAGGGTAGGAAAGCATTTTGTTACAAAGTAGTAAATGACCTTCTCCACATCTACTCGTAAGGAGTGCCCAGGAGGTGGCATCCTTAATCTGAATCCCAGATTAAGAGAGAGACCAGGGCAGAACAGGAAAGTGAGAGCCGAGAGCCCCATCACACCAAAACATCTCCAGTTGCTACTGATGTAAGTCATTAGCAACTGGCAGGAAAAATATCTTCAGATATTTATGTGTGCTGTCCTACGCATTTAAAATACTCAAACATTGCTTAAAATATTCCACCCTTCAGACTCTGGGAGAGTTCACGGTGATGATGGTCAAGTCAGACTCTGTACATTTTAGATTTCATTAAAGTAGAGCCCGGGCCAGGTGTAGTGTCGCACACTTGTAATCCCTGTACCAGGGAGGTAGAGGCAGGAAGATCAGGAGTTCAAGGTCAGTCTGGTCACATAAGAACTTGTGTGAACAACAAAACACAAACCTAAAAAGTGGAGCTTCTCTGAATTTTAACAATAGTCACACACCCAAGCTTTGCTCCCTCCCATGCTGAGATCTGGGCATGTGCCCCAAGTTCCTGTACTCAGTCCTCTGAGAGCCCTGTCAGGTCAGCATCTCATCCTATGATCTTAATTTGCTTCACTTTCATAGAGGAAACTGGGGCTCAGAGAGATGAAGTGATGGGGGTTCAGTCAGTAAAGTACTTGTCATGAAAGTTTGAGGACCTGAGTTTGGATTCCCTAGCACCCATGTGAAAACCCCAGGTTCGGGGAGGAGGGAGGATAGAGACAGGAGAAACTGGGCCAGCCAGTCTAGCTGGATCTAAGAGCTCCGGCTTCATGAGAAAGGCTGTCTCAAAGTAATGTGGACCGTGACTGAGGAAGACACCAGACATCCTCCTCAACACATACGTGTATGTGCACCTGCATGTAATTGTACACACACACACACACACACACACACACACACACACGTAAAGATGAAGCCACTCTCTCCATCACCATTCAATCTGATGTGTCTGGCCCCACAATGTGGGCTCTTCTTGAAGCTGGGGTCCTTTGCTTGCTGGTTACTACTACACCAGGGGATCAGCAAAAGTATTCTAGGGCCAAACTGGGGTTCAAGGGAGCTTTCCCAGGCAGGGATTGTGGTACCCATAGGATGGGTGCCTCCTGGCAGTCTGGCATTCACCAGAGAGCCCAGCATGGAAGTAATGTTTTAAAAAGTGGCCTGTAGTTAGTCTCTTGGTTAACAGCTCAGCAAAGAGTCAACTTGCTGTATAACAGCTGGTTTCAGAGGGAGCATTAGCATCAAACTGCTTTATAGCACAGGAGCTGCATGTTTTAATCAACATCGAGTTTTCAGAACATCCACAGCCCCATCCTCTACCTCCTGCTTCAGCAGAGACCTGTGAGCAGCAGTGAGTTCACTCCACCCCAACTGCTCATTTTGAGCTGGTCCCGACTTTGGTGAGTCCTTCTACCCTGAGGGACTCCGTTTCCACAGTGGGCATATACACAGAGACTCACCATGCTGAGCCTACATAGCAGAGGAAAAGTATCTGTCCTTCAATCATCCTGGGTTCATGGCTAAAGCCTGTGTGGTGGAAGAGATGAACGAGACAAGACTGTATAGATTGAAGTTTTCTCTAAGAGCCTCTGCAAGGAGTGAGGACCATAAGAAATAGGCTGCATTTGAGAAGTAGCTGGTCAGCCTAGGAAAGAGGTGTGGACCGTATATGACCAGATGGTGACCGGCAAGGCCTGTGTGTTCAGTCCCCTCTGAGCCCCATGTCTTCAGAGACGAGGTCCCTTCTTCCTGTAGGAAGGAAGTCAGTCCTTCAGTAGGGTCTCAGGGCCCTGTGGCAGATGGGCAGAGCATCCTTCCTGGGATGTGGATCCTGTCTCAAGGAAGAAGGGTGTGGCATGAGGGTGGGGCCAGGGGGAACTTCCTGGGTATCCCTTTTCAAGATGCAAAAGTAGCGTGTTTTGGGGTACTATGTCCTGAACCCCATCCCCTAGTACACAGTAGGCTCTCAGAAAACTCTAAAACCATCTTGGAGTTCTCGTCTCATTCCAAGTTTGTGTGTGTGTGTGTGTGTGTGCATAGCAGCCAGAGGTCAAATTTGGTGTCCTCAATCACTCTCCACCCTGTTTTTTGAGACAGTCTTTCATCAAACTTGGAGCTCACTGGTTCATGTAGCCTGGCTGTCCAGCGAGCCCCAGGGATCGTCCTGTCCCCACTTCCCCAGTGTCAGGGTTATAGACATGTGCAGTCACAGCTAGTTTTTCATGTAGGTGCTGGGGATCTGATGCGTGGCAAGCACTTCACCCCCTGAGCCGTCCCCGCTGCACACTGCTCTGAGTCTCTGTAGCTGCACTGTTTTGCACAAGGCTGTGGACCCACCAGGTGCTGGGGCCACTGTCTGGGCTGCTTACAATTTACCAGGCCTGGGAAGATGGTCAGTTTTCAAGGCTGAATCACCACCATCTCAGGAGAAGCCTGGCTCAGCTGCAGGCCTGCAAGGCTGCTGAGGAGGCCCTGAATTCTGGACAGCAATGACCCCTAATGAAGTTCTTGGTGACAGCTGCCATCCAGTGAGCTACTCCACTCAAAGCCTAGGTCAGCAGCTCCTATAAGAACCCTGTCAGGTGTGGATTTGCTTTTTCCAGCAAGGGGACTGGAGCATTGGAAAGGCCACAGGGTATGTCCCTCCCATTCCTGAGCCCGGCTTGTCGGCCTCTGACTAGATAGCTTCTCTGCCTTGGTTTAAAGTCTCAACCCTGTTCTAGAAGACAGAGAGGAAAACTGGCCTAACAGGCTTGGAAGTTTACTCATTCCATCACATTAACAGAATGGCTCGACAGGACAAATCAGTAGAGACAAGGCCCACTGTCCTTCCCCAGATTCTACTAGTTCATTCGCTCCCACACGGCCCTCAAGTTTCCTTCAGGCCAGGCCCTAGGGTGCTACGCTTATATGCTAAAACATGAAAGGATCTAAGATGGGGCAGTTGTCATTTTAAAGTTTGAGCTTCTATGCTACAGATAGTACCCAGCACAGTTATTAAAAACGTATGGAGTCCAGATATAGGCCAGCTAAGGCTCAACCCTTGGCCCATCCTATGGTCCTGTCCTCAGAGAACGACTACATCAAAGGCTGCAGGAAAGAAGGGGCAGGGGGCAGAGGGAAGACCCCCCCAGAGGCTGGATCCTTTGGGTACCTGTGCCTCACCAAACCCCCACTTCAGGCATGGACCCAACTCTGCCCTGGGTGTGAACATGGGGCTGTTGACCTCCATTCCTGGAAAGATTCTTGCTTTGCTGAGGATTACAGTGAGTTAATGAAGCCACCCTTAAGCTTGACTATGCACAGGGTGCCTGGTTCAAGTGCAGGGTCCTCAGCCTCTCCTCAGCTGGAGGCCTTGAACCCTGCATCCCTGGTCTAGGAAGAATTCTGTAACCGCCACAGACTGGAGACTTAAACTTCAGGCCTCCGTCTTCTCCCAGTTCTAGAGGTTCAATACCAAAGCGTGAGCAGGACTGGTTTCTGCCAAAGTCCCTCGTTGGCTAACAGGTGACTGGCTTCCACTGTGTCCTGGCTGGAGATGGAACACATGTGCTCTTTTGAGAACATCTTGTTCTTTTTTTTTTTTTTTTTTTTTTTTTTTTTTTTTTTTGGTCTTTTTGAGACAGGGTCTCCCTGTAGCCCCAGCTGTCCTGGAACTCACTATGTAGACCAGGCTGGCCTCGAACTCAGAGATCCGCCTGCCTCTGCCTCCTGAGTGCTGGGATTAAAGGCGTGCACCACCACGCCTGCTGTCTTTTATTATTATTTTTTATTTTATGTGTACGAGTGTATTGCCTACATGTATGTAAGAGCACCCATGTCATGCAATGCCGCGGAGGTCAGAAGAGGGTGTCGGATTCCTCTGGAGCTGGAGTTAAGGATGGTTAACTGCCATGTGGGTGCTGGGAGTCGAGCCCATGTCCTCTGCAAGAGCAGCCAGCACTCTTAACCGCTGAGCCATCTCTCCAGCCCCTCCCCCATCTTTTTCTAAGGGCTCTATTCACATTATTAACCCTTGACTTTATTTAATCTTGATATACCCCTCAAAGGCCTCATCTACACACAGTCACACACAGGGTTAGGCTGGATCATCTGAGTTTAGAGGGGTCACAGTTCAGTCTTCGGCAGACCCCCATGGGCTACAGGACTCTTGCTGTGGACCTGCTAGCACCTGTCGGTGGGCATGAACTTGGGGTTCGGAGGAATGGGTTTTCCCTGCCTCCCTGCCTCTGAAGCCCACTAGAGACTTCCCAGGCTCTAGATACACCCCAGAAGTGTCCACCTTCCTTCCTCCTCCTCCTCAGCAGGCCATCATGGGGAGCTCCGCCCACTGGACAGTGACACCCCCCAAGTCATACATTTTTTCACCCAGACACCAGGGGTCCCTGTGAATCACAGAAACTGTTAGCCTTAGGAAGGGTTAGGGTTCAAGAGTGACCCCTCACAATGGCTGCTTATGGGAGCCCCGAGTTGTGTTCTAGGATCAAACCAGAAACCAAACCAACCATGTCTGTAGATAGGGCCAGGGCCAGTGCGTCAGTGCTGTGAGACAGCCCAGGAGAAAGATCAGGACCAGGAGGAAAATTACCCTGGAGTCTGTCACCCCAGGATCTGAACCTCTGACCTAATGTCCCTTGGAGATTTCCCTGGTGTGTTACTGGTCTTGCTGCTGTGACAAAATGCCTGAGAAAACCACCTTAAGGAAGGAAGGTTTTAGTTTAATTCAGTTTGAGGGTATCATCCATCGTGGCGGGGAAGGCATGCAGGACGTGAGGCAGCTGGTCCTCCATCATGGCGGGGAAGGCATGCAGGACGTGAGGCAGACGGTCACGTTGCATCCACAGTCAGGAAGCAGAGGGAGATGAACGCTGGTGCTCAGCTCACTGTCTTTTTTATTTAACCAAGACACCAGTCCATGTGTGGCCCACATTTAGCATGAGAGCTCCCTTTTCAATCAACCCAATCTCGAACCCCCCTTACAGACATGCCCAGAGGTTTGTTTCCATGGTGATTCTAAATCCCATCACACCCAGCTTCTCCAGCTAGCCAGGTAAGAGTCTCGGTTGCCTCTCTGGCCTGCAGGTGATCCTGGGGAAGCTGTATGAGACTCGGAGCAGTCAGCTGAGGAAGTACAAGCCTCCTATAGAGCTGGATGCGGCCTGGCACATGCCCCACTTCCAGAAGGTCAGTACCCTTTGTCGTCCCCTTTCTTCCCTGGCCGCTGCTCACTTGCTGTCTCGGAGTTCTCATAAGACCAGACGACAGCAGCAGCGGGGGTAACTAACACCCGTGAGGGCTTCCTCAGTCAGATGCCGAGCCCGCTTAGCAGCTGAGGTTCTTTCTTTTTGGTGTGTGTGTATGTGATGTGTATGTCATGTTGGGGGGTAGTGTACATGTGTGCATATGAGTGTATGTATGTGTGTCCATGACGTGTATATAAAGGTCGGAGGACAACCCTGGGTGTCAGTCTTCACCTTCTGCCTAGGTGGAGGTGGAGTCTCTCGTTCACTGTCACAGACACCACAGACTTCCAGGGACTTTCCTAATCTCACTCTAGGTGCACTAGGCAAATGCATGTTGCCACATCTGGCTTTACATGGGTTCTGGGGAACTTATCCTTATCCCCTAGCCCTCAGCTGAGACTCCTAATGTACATCCACAGGGCGACTGCTGATAGTGACCTGTTTTATGGACAGGAAACATGGAAAATGCTAGAAAGAAGCAGGGTCTGGGTGACTCCCAGGTCATCTGACCGCAGAGCTAGGATGGCAGTCTACCTGCTGGACAGAGGCTGTGTAGGTGGAGCCCTACTCCAGTGACATGGTCCTAACACACCTCCTTCAGCTCCTAGGGACTGGCTGTGGAAACAAGCTGTGTCCTCAGGTGCCTGGATGATGACACCCTGAAGACGGACAGTCAGAGGCCCATGGGGGCTGGAGTATGCACATGACACACCAACCAAGGCCTGCGACCTGGATCAGGGTGCAGGGGTGGCCTGTACTCTGGCTTCGGAGCTGACCCTGCATTCTTTCAGTCATAGAGCCCTGTAACACCCAGAAAGGGACTCACATTCAGTAGTTTTTAGCAAAAAACGACAGTGTGTGTGTTGAGGGGGGTGTACAGAATAAGGGAAATGGGGGCCTTGTGAACCTGGCTCTGGGACAGGAAGAAAGCTGCATACGCCTAACTTTGGCAGAAAGAGTCTTTCTAGAAGGTCATGAGGGACATCCCTGGCCCCATCTAGACAGCTGCACGAGGCAACGTTGCCAGCCAGCCGTCTTGGCTGCTGTGCTGCCTTAAACTGCAATTTAGGCGGTGAAGGGACCGCTGCCTTCCTGAGCCTAATGTATTTGAACAAGCTGCTGAACTCTACCGCGAAAGCTGCCTTTCCCTGCTGGATGCAGCCTCTCGTGTCCTGCCCAAGTGGCCTCCATCAACATATGTCAGTGACCATGTGCCCCACCGCCCATCAGCCCAGGAAAGGCTAAGACCAAGTCCAGATCAGGAGATGGCAGGATCACCACCACACTGTCACTCCACGCCTGTCGTCAGCTCTGTCTCAACAGTGCAACCCTCCTCCCGTTTCTCCATCTTCCTCATTGTACCTCCTTTATATATGTATTTATTTATTTATTTATTTATTTATTATTCATTCATTCATTCATTCATTCATTTATTTATTGGTCTTTTTGAGACAGGGTCTTCCTGTAGCCCCAGCTGTCCTGGAACTCACTATGTAGACCAGGCTGGCCTTGAACTCACAGAGACCCGCCTGCCTCTGCCTCCCGAGTGCTGGGATTAAAGGCGTGCACCACCACACCCGGCTGTACCTCCTTTTAAACCATCCATCCACCAGCTTCTCTTGAAGTCATCTGCCTCCTCCCACCTCCTCCCAGGCCCCTTCTCTGTGGCCCTCTTCTTCCTCATGCTGGTGACTGAGGCATACAGCCACTGGAGTGACACCAGGACCCTCTCTCATCCACCCCTGGCTCCACAGGCACAATATGCCCTCCAGGAGGCCTCTATTTACAGCTTCCCCCATCTCTAACTCCGGACAAAGGATGATGTGTGGGTGCCCCCCGCTTAGCAGCACAAAGGGTCTTCCCTACCTAAGTACCATGGAGAGCTGGCCCTGGCAGGAGCTCTAGGGCAGAAATGATTCAATGTTGCTCTTAGCAAAAGGGAATTTGTCTCACCAGCCCAGAACTTTTCTGAGCAATGGAATTTGTTCTGCGTACCGTTAGGAATAGCAGACACCCAGTTCTGACAAGGCTTTCTGGGTGGCAGGCATCACAGGTGGCTGGTTATGTGGATGATGTCATTTCATCCTCAGAAACAACATCCAGATCCCATTGTGCAGGTGAGGCAGGGCCAGTTGCCTCTTCCAGCCTTTCTAGGGCGGCTGGCCCCAACTCAGTGCTGCAGTCCTCACACCAGTACACACACTACCGTAAGACAGAGGGGCAAGCCCCAACCATTCCTGTGTGTCCCTTAAGGATGCCCCTGGGAGCCTGCAAGTTAGCGCTTCCATCACCATGTTTGCCCAGGAGAGGGCAATGTGTGCAGGGTTCTCAGAGCGGTTCTGCCCCAGGTGCCTGCTCCACAGAGGAGAGACACGTAGACCTCCAAGGGCTGCTGTTATGCGTTCTCACATGCAGAGCCCCCACTTCTGGGAAGTATAATGTCAGCAACAGGGGGCTGGAGAGCTGGCTCAGTGGTTAAGACCACTGGTTGCTCTTGCAGAGGACCTGGGTTCGAATCCCAGCACCCACATGGTGGCTAACAACTGTCTGTAACTCCAGTTCCAGGGGATCCTAAGCCCTCTTCAGACCTCCATGGGCATTGTACAACACAGGTGCATCTACATACGTGTAGGCAATACACTTAGACACATAACATTAGAATAATAAATGTCAGCAACAGTATTAAATGAGGCCGGAGCAAATGTGGAGTTTGGGATGAACATTATTCACAGGTAGCATTCCACCAGTGTGGACACTGAGGCTCAGTGAGGTGAAGGAATGTACCCTATAAGAAATGGATCCGAGATCTGACTGGAGCCACCTTAGTCTGGAGCCTCCTGAGACTCCTTCCCAGCACATTTCTTCTCACAGCCAAAGGCACCTCGCTGCTTTCTGGTCAGGGCTTAGCAACTTGTAGTTAGATAACTAAATAGGCAGTCTTTCGTCTTTCCCAGTAAAATGTGAGTCCATAAAGACGAAGCCTGCAGGTGCCCACCTGTGTCCCTGGAGCTAAGCAGGGTGCCTGGTACAGAGGAGAGGGGCAGTAAGCATCTGGAATGAATGAATGAATGAATGAATGACCAGCTCAGAATGAGCAAAAAGTTTCCCAAATCTGACATAAAGAGACCCTCCCACACACACAGATGACCCAGCACCACATCCCCACTAGCACCAATGAGACTATCCTCAGAAGGCCCGCCAGCCAAGCCAGGCTGGCTGCTGTCGTGTTGAGGTACATGAAGCCCCAGGAGGGTCTTTGTCTGGGTTGAGTGTTGTGACTGATCCACCGCCCCCACCCTGGTCCCATTATGATGGCAAAAAGCGTTTCCAAAAAAGTTGAACCTGTCAGGGTGATGGATAACCTAAATGGACTCTCCCCGCTCACGAACAGATGCCGACGCTGAACTCTGTCAGAAATAATTAAACACCTTTCACACGAGAAAGCAGCAGGCAGGGCGAGGCGGCCACCCCACGGGCTGGGTCACCATGTCAGGCAGGCTGCTCTCTGCTCCCTCTCAGTCAGCCACGAGGGGGCCGTGAAGACCCCCCCACACCCACAGGGTGAGAGGAGCAGGCCAGGGAAGGCAGTGGTATATCCACTGTGTGGCTGCTTTCTCAGGACCCTGGGGAGACCCAGCAGGCAGCCTGGTGGCCCTGCCTTCCTTCTGGTCCCTGTATCCTGCAATTGCCATAGGATAGCAGTGCCGGCATAAAGGGTCAGCTAGCAGCTGGATTGGAGCCTTCTAAGACGTTCATAATGTGAGGGCCCAGCTCAGCAGCGGGGAGCTTGGAACCTGTCTCCATATCCAAGAATGGGAGTGTAGGTTCAGCCCTTGGAGACCTATTGTGGATGAAGACTCTTAGTTTCTTCTTACCTGGCTAAGGGACTGTGTGGGAGGTGGAGCCAAGACTCTCAGAGGTGAAGGACCCTGAACCTAGAGTAAACCATCAGGGAAACAACTCAGACCCTTCCTTGGGTTCCAAGATGGAGGATATGAACTCATCGCCCCATCCCCCAAGGGAAGAGCCACTGGGCTGGACCCTAACTGCTCCCAGTGACATAGGGGCTCTATTGCTGTTTGTAGTGTGTGCTGGGGCAGCAGAGGAGGCGGAGGCTGATGCTGGGGAGGTGGGAATGGGCTGCTCTCTGTGTTTGCCAGAGGGCCTCCAGTGTCAGGCAGGGTCAAATGGTGGTGTGGCGTGCTCTGACAGGTGGTTTTGCCCTGCTAAGACCTGCTTCCTCTTCTGTATAAATGAGTTGATGAGAGCCAGGTATGGTGGCGCATGCCTTTAAACCCAGTACTTGGAAGGAAGAGGCAGGCAAATCTCTGTGATTGGGTTAGCCTGATCTGCATAGTGAGTTCCAGGCCAGCTAGGACTACAGGGAGACCCTGTCTCAAAAAAACCAAAAAAAAAAAAAAACAAAAAAACAAAAAACAAAACAACAAGTTGATGAAGTTCCCCAGTGGAGCTGCTGGGAGGGTCTGAGGAGGAAACTCGGGCATGGAATTAAGCAATGCCCTCAGCCTCCAAAAAGCCAGCAATGAATATCGTGAATATGATGGTGAGTGTTCATTCATTTATTCACTCATCCATTCATTCATTCACATACTTATCAATTCATTCACCTACCCATCCATCCATTTACTCATCCACACATTCATTCACAAATTTCTCCATTGAGCACCTCAGTGCTAAATCCTGTTCTCTGATTGGAGAACATGGTGGTCAAGCAGTCAGACTGAGGCTGGTGGCTGCCACCTCCATGGACTTCCCAGCCATTCCATCGAGGCGAGATGGACAGAGAGGTGATGAGACTGACAGATGGATAGGCAGAGAGAGAGAGATGAGGGGGAAGATTGGAACAGCACTTTCCCTAGAGACACAGTGTTCACAACCTGAATGGCCAACCTTGGCTGGTAGCTCCAGGGTTGGGAGGTG